ATTACAATATGACGCTAGCTACAAAAACCTGTGGTTCTTTAGCATAATAAGCTAGCTGTCTTCGTAACCAAATTGCTGTCTTTGTCTTTACAAATATTGATAGCTTTTTGCTAACTTAAAAAAGCTGCCGATCCTCTTGGCAAAATCGCTGTCTTTATCGTTAAAATTACAGCTAGCTATTCGCTAGCCGATTTCCCACTGGGTTAAGTTTTTATTAACGTGTTTAACTAATTAATTAATTTAGTCTGCATTTGCAACACTTGAGGAAATCATTGTTTTACATTTTACATTGTTCTACATCAAAATTTTGATTACTCTTAATAAAAATAACTCAACTAACTTTGCCACCATTAAAGCAAAACGAAATTTTGAGTAACAAAAGAAATTTTTAGTAAATGGTAGCAAATTACCGTTGACAAAAATTTATTTAAATATAGTGGCCGTACAAATAATATAGAAATGGCCTGTATTAAGCAGACCCGGGTTCATACCTATCATTTAAATAATTTCGTTTTACTTTAACAAATTTAAAAAAAAAACAATATATGAAAATCGTTGTTTTGAGTTTAAAATTAATTTTCAATACTTTACAACTTCTGTAAACTCTCTCTCTCTTTCTCTCTCTCTCTCTCTCTCTCTCTCTCTCTCTCTCTCTCTATATATATATATATATATATATATATATATATATATATATATATATATATATATATATATATATATATATATATATATATATATATATATATATATATATATATATATATATATATATATATATATATATATATATATATATATATATATATATATATGTATGTATATATATATATATATATATATATATATATATATATATATAAAGGAAAAAGAAGCCAAGCAAAAAGCAATATTCAAAAAATGAATCACTTTTTTATATTAAAATACTACTAAGAAAATATTAAATAGTACTAGAGGCCTTTCAGTATTGATCATCAGTAGTACTATTGCAAATGTAATTATCATGATTTTGATTTATGTAAAAAGTTATATAATAGAAGTATTTAATAGCAGTTTTTGTAACTATGAGTTACCATTGTTATGTTATAATAAAAGGAAGCATTAGTTGAAAGTGTTTTTGTTTATGCAGATAATTTTCATAAGTCAACAAATTATTTTCATATTTTAATTCGAGAAAAACATAAAGCTGTAAAAATGGCTCCGTCGTTGTTTTGTGTACTTTCTTGCAATCATATACATGATTGTCGAATCTATCTGTTGAATTGCCAGTTTTGCAACTGGAAATATGTCCATTGGTGCGGTTTCTTAAATTGTTTGTTTTTCCAGTGTAAGTAGATAGTCCATTACATGATAAGCATTTTAGATAATAAATGACATTTTTACTATTACATGTAATGTGACTTTTAATGTTCCAAATTGTGCCATTGGATGTCTCAAATTTATCTACTTCTTGTAAATATAAATGGCAGATTTTACATCGACTGTTTTTGCATTTGAATAATCCCATTTTTTTGACAGATGACGTAGCGTGAAACTTTGAGCGCGTAATTTGTCTAAGTAAGTTTGGTGGTTGTTTGTATGCTATTACTGGTTAAGTATTTGAAAAAACTTTTTTTAATCGTTTATTATCAGATAAACTAAGTAAAACGTTAACTTCAGTTAAAATTGGTTGACAGTTTAAATTACTATAGAATGTAGTCACCAAAGGAAAGTCTTCTTTTGATTGTTTCATTAATGCTGGCCCTTGTAACTTGGCATTATGAAATGCTTTTTCTATTACATTATCAGGGTAATGACACTCTTTTAACCATATTTTAAGTTCCGTTAGACGTACTTTTTATGTAGCATAATCAGACGTAAAAACCATTATTCTTTTAGCTAGGTTATAAGGTATGTTCTTTTATTTGTGACACGGATGATGACTGTTAAAGTTTAAATAGTCATAAGTGTTTTTTTCTTTGTAAAAAATATCCGTTTTAATGTATTTTTTGTTTTCAAGGATAACCGAAATGTCTAAAAAATTAATTGTGTTATATACTTTTTCATTTGCTTCAAATTCGATTCCAAAATCTATTGATATTAATGCTTGTAAACAAATTTTAATGCATGGTCAAATCATGTGGTTTTAGGCACCAAATAAGATAAAGAGGTTTGACTTAATGAAAAAGTTTTGGTTTTCACGTCTTTTATCACATTTTTAAAACTCTTTAACCTATATTTTATTTTAGTTTGTTCTAATATAATTTCGATGCATCTAAAATGAAAAAGAAATTGAATCAACATAAATTTTTATGCGTACTACTACTATTAACTAGCATTAGTTGGATAAAATTTAAAAGAAATCCACTAAACATGTTGAAGGTATTTAGTCTTTTTTAACTTTGTTAATTGCATAAATAAAATGTATATATATATATATATATATATATATATATATATATATATATATATATATATATATATATATATATATATATATATATATATATATATATATATATATATATATATATATTACAAATGTTTAACTTGTTTAAAAACCTTAATTTTAACAATAATTTTTTACAACAAAAAACTAAATAAATAATGTATAATAATTTTATTTAAAAAACGTTTGTGTTTTATCAGATACGCTTTAATACTTTAAGAAAACAATAAGCGTTTGTGATTTCCTCACAAAGATTGTTCGTTATTTGCCGCGATCTAACCAATTGAAATTAAAGGAATATATTGAGTTAGTATTATCATTTCCTAAATATAATATGTGTTACTAAATGCATGATAATGATACTTTGCAACAAAATTAAAACTTGTTTAGTTTTATATACAAAGTATAGCCTATACATAACTGTTTCTCAAATAAAAATAACATGAAACTAAGAGAAAAATTTAGAATCAATCTATAGTGAACTGTGAATCTATAATACACTATTGCACATCTGGAACTGAGCATGTAACCCACTCTCGCTAGATAAAAAAAATTGTCAGCCATCCTATTGTAATATGGCGTAACAACCTTTTTCAGATTTTTTGCCCAGTACGCCATTACCCAACTCTTCCCTAACTAAATATTTTTGACCAATACTAATAAAACGAGAAATTAAACTTAATTTACATGTTTGTTTGATATATGTTTCGTAAAAAAAGCATACTTCCAAATGTAATTCATACGTCTTTTGAACGCTCAACGCTCACCATAGAATATATTGGTTCCAAAAAGGTCTAGGACTATCATGACGTAAATTGAACGTATATTGTATTTTTTTTGTACGTCCAGTGTTTGCAGGATAAATATGGTCAGATTTAATTTTCCTGATCTAAGTTAACTATATTTAAACATACATGTCCAATCTACTTAAAAAACGTATATTTAAACCATAAGTAGTTTTGCCACTTTTAAGCAATTCAGAACCACTGTATGATGGAAAAAGGGAAATTTTTTTTTGTTTCAGTTAAACTACTTGATAATATATTTTCATTAAACCATTCTGTAAGCTTTGAGCTCTATGTTAACTGAAGCAAACATTATTATTTCATCTTGAGTATGAAACAAATTTTTATATCAGCTTTCAAACAGCGTTTAGTAAGTTACATGATTTTCCTAAATTAGTATTATAAATTAAAATTGAGTGGATTAAACATAGAACCGTGTAGAACCCCGCGATTTACATTCAAACAATTAATTTCCCCACTGCTATAATAAAAGTATTGTTTCTATAATAAATGTATTTGTATTTGAAAGTATTTAGTATTCGAATGTTTAATCCAGTAATTTTCTAGTTTATATATTAAAATATAATGATCAACAGTGTCAAATGCTTTGCTAATATCAATAAATACACATATAGTAAATTTATTTTCATCAACTGTCTCAGAAATATTCCAAGCAACATGAACAGTTGAGTGATTAGTGGAGTGGCGGTTAGTTATGATTTAAAATTAGATTTTTTAACTTTAATGTTGGATGATAAATTTGCACTTAAGTTAGCAAATGCATGGTTAAATTCCTTCAAAATTATATTTTTATTAATAGTTTCGCAGTTATTTATAATAGTTTTTTTTGAGACACCATAACAATTTGTATTTTTTAATATGTTTTTATTTAAACACCATGTTTATTGTGATTTATTTTTGATTTTCATTAATTGGTTAGTATTGTATAAATTTTGAGAAAATTTTTTAATCGATTGAAAAAGTTTTTTGTAAATTTTGTAATTTTACTCATTTTGTACATTTCTTTTTTTAATAAAGTTTTAATGGAGAAGTTTTTTTTTATGGTTTTATGATTTTTACCGTAGTAATCCGTATAAAAAAAGGATTTTGTAATTTTTTTTCTATAAGAAGTTTTAAAAATTTAGGAAACGCTACATTGTAGAGGTTTTGATATATCTGATTGACACTATTATAAGCACTATCAGATATTTAGTTTTCAGGACAGGTTTCCAACTTGTGGAAGATAGCAGGCTTTTAAAATGGACAATGGAAACGTCATTAAGTATTTTTTATTTATTTTTACTTTTTCGGAAGCTTAATTAATTTTTTGTTTTGTTAATATTATAAAGACTGGAAAATTATATGCTTGTTACAAATATTCCAATTTTAATATTTAAGTCAGCTAAATCGTTATAATTTGACCTATTAAAGTGGAACTATCTTTTGTTTATAGTCGGAATATAACAATTATAATATAAAATATTGAAAAAACTTTTAAAGTTTTTATTTGCGTCACATTTCACCACGATCAAAATAAAATACCCCAGAAAGTGCGTGCATTTCCAACGACTGTCTATGTTTGTAAATAAACTTTTAAATTAAAAGCTTTACCCACTTTAATATTGTCCTAAAATTACATTCCTTTCTTATTTATACAAATACTATTATGGTCGCTACTCAAACGAGTTCTCGTCTCTAGATTCATCAACTAAAATATATACTTGCCTGATTTATTGAGAAAAGTTGCATTCTTATATAGGTATCTCACCATGCCAAAGAAACTTTTATTTTAAAATATTTATTTTTATTTTAAAAATGTTAAATTTTCACACTAAAAAAGTCTAACAATTAAACGTTCCTCCGTACGTTTAACAGTACGGACTGTTAAACGTACGGAGGAAAAAAATTGAATATATCATAAAAGAATATAAGTTCATTGTCAAACAGAATTAATTAAATCAATTTATCGTGTTTAAATCTTGAATTTTAATAAATAACCGCAAAAAAAAAAAAGAAAAAAAAAAAAGAAAAAAAAAAAAAATTATTTGCGTCTATTTTAGTGCAATAAAACAAACTTTAAAAAAAAAATACAAATGGTGTCAACTAGGAGCAGTTTTATATGGTGCGAAACAAGTTTATATAATCTTTTTTTTAAATAAACTAGCCTAAACTAATCATTTTGAATATTTATTGTAATTCTTTCCATTTAATTCGTCGAGTCCATGTACCGTAAGCAGTATTTCGGAAAAATAATCCTTCTTCGTTTCCTAAAAAATAGACTCTTTTTTTAAACAATGGAATACCATATGATGCCAAACTCTAAAGTAATCTACAATTAGTTTTAAAGTAAGTAAAAAAGACGTCTTTTAAACGTTTAAAATACGTCCAAAACGTTCAAAAGACGTTCAGAAAACGTCTAAAACGTGTATAAGACGTTTAAAAGACGTCATTTTTTACTTACTGGGTATTTTTTTTTTATTATTGTAATCATCAAAATTATTTTATTTTATCGATTTTATCAAAATTATCCTTGTTCTATAAAAAAAAAAAGAAAAGGAAGAATAAAACAAAAAATTAAAAAGTGTTTTCACCATTATATTGTAATTTCTTTTAAAATATGAGATAACTAGCAGTATAAAATACCTAGTCGCAAGGTTTCAATAGATAAAAGATAAAATCTACAAAATAAAAAAAAAAGTCATCTTGATATCTTTTATAAAGGACAGATTTGAAGAGTTTTTAAGAAAACCTTTAGATAAAACATTTCGGAACTCTTTTCTGAGAAAATAGAAAATAAAATTTGATTATTTTTAGAACTTGCGAAAAAATTTTGTAAGAGTTAATTTAAAAAGTAGTTTGTTAAAAAAAAATCAAATTTGCGGAAATACTTTCAACAATATCATATTGTTTGCTGTGCTTGACAAAAAAAAAAAATTATAAATTTTATTTTTATTATTAATTCTGAAAAAAATAAATGTTTGTGTTTTGAAAAAAAAAACTATTTAAAAAGTTGAAGTGTGGTTGATGGTAGATTTCGTTTTTCATTTTCCCTATTGAACCATTCATTTTTGTTTCAATCGATAAATTTGTGTGAATAATTTAGGACCGACTTCTCCAGCGCCGACTGTCATTTTAGACAAAGGATTGGACCAACTTCTTACACGACCCACAATTAAAAGACTTCATTTAAGGCCGACTAATCAAAGAATCATTTCATTAATTTTAGAAGGAATAAAGTTTAAATTTACAGATATTAACAAAAAAAATTTAAATTTTACAATAAGATGCTTTAAGAAGATCGGCAGAGCCAGTATGATGTCCACCCAGTTGATCGAAATGAAACAATCCTGAAGTTTATACTTTAAAGGATCCATTTAGTTTTAAGGACCAGATTAGCCGTCTTTTCGTTTCGTATTCACTTCTGACTTCTTAACAATGTAAGAAAGTTTAAACAGTTAGTTATTTTTAAAACTATTTTCGACTCAGTACATTATTCTTATTAGTACAAGAAATATTGTTTGAAAAATTCAATGTTTAAGAAAGAACACACAATTTAACATAATTGCTATGAAATTTTGAAACACATAAAAAAAAAAATATTTTTTCCTAATGAGACAATATATATAATCTTTTTCTTAATTTCATAGTCAGAAATCATTTTAACTGATGCTAGTAAAAATAGCTGTGGTGTAATGCAAGTAAATATTTTTATTTTCATTTTAGAGTAAATCAAATTTCATATATTTTATTTTAATATCGTAAGATCAATACATTTGTATATAATTAATGGGTAATAAATAAAAATGTCAACAGATGTTTGATTTAGGAGGCAATAAAGGGACTTTTCTCTGTATTCTTAATTTTATTCGTTTCGCTGTATCTTAATATTAATTTGATGTTTCTCTATATCTTAATATTAATCCTCCAGTTAACGTCGTCCATTTACCGTCGTCTATTTTATTACAAAGTAGTTAATAGACTTTTTAAAATGCGTTTTTTGAAGTCCGCTCGGCTTTTCCAACAGTGTCTACAAGCAAGTTAGTTGATAATTCTTACTTTGCTGTTAAGGAAAATAGGAATTATTTTTTGAGTAATTTAATTAGTTTAATTACGAGTTTTAATAAATAAATATTTATTTGTTGTTGATCGCTTACGTAGTCTCTTTAAAATCTTACGTACTAAGCAACTAGCTCAGCAATTTTTATTTTTTAAAGCAATTTTAAAAAGCTAAAACGATTTTAAGTTACTTATCCAACTACAAAAAAAAGTACTGCTATCGTGGAGGCTAGCAAAAAGAGTGAGTTCATTAATCTATTTGAGGTGAAATCTTTAATAGATCTATTGATTTTTTTTGACATAGCTGCAGGATATTTATTTTTTTATTTCAGAAAGGTGTTTTGGAGTTTTAGACTTATAATTGTGTGGCAGTGGCGCACTGGTTACAGCGTTTGCTTTATAATCAACAAATCTAGGTTCGAAACGAGCTCCGGACATATTTTCACGTCATGATAAGAAAGGAGGCGCGATTTTCCTGGTTAAATGCACTTCCGTGGTGATCTGGGACAAGATCGTTAGGTCTTTTTAGGGTACCTAAATAACAAAACAAAAAAAAAAAAAAAATTTGATTTGCAGACGTGGGATGGAGCTCATATAGAAGTAAAAAAGATGTTAAAATCTTTTTTACTCTAATATATGTTAATCATTATAAACTTAAGCAGCTGTGGTAACCTCCATCTCATCATTGGTCAGAAAGCTCTATCCCAACCCTGGACATTATTTATTATTATTATTATTATTCTTATTATTAATGCTATTATTATTATTATTTTTATTTTTCACGGAGGCTAAGTGGTATGGCAGACAGTCTCTGAACAAAGGGTCCCAGGTTTGAATCTCGGTTTCTTAGTTTAGGGATTAAATATTTTACTTGGATCTGGAGGAGAGAGTCCACCCAGTTCTGAAAGGTACCTGGTGCAAGTTAGGTAAAGTAAAGGCGAGTGGGCGTTGTGCTCACCACACAATCCTCTCGTATGCAGCACAGTGGTTTATTTTGCACTTTTTGTGGACATTTGACTATACTTAGGAAAAATCTCTTTGTGCGGCATGTGGAAACAAAACATGATATATGTCTTTAGATTAATTATTTAAGTTCCATCATTAAATAATAATCCTAAGGGCATACCATAAATCTAGGACACTAAAATAAAACACTACAAAACACCCTAAAAAAGTTGGTAATAGCATTTTTCAGATAGGTATACATAGCCAAAATTTATGCTTTAAGGGTAACCTTTCAAGCTTTATTCAGTAAAAATACTCTTATGTTCATCACCATGATTGCCTTCTACACTCTAGGAAACCTAAAAAAACACTTTAAACCATAAAAATAAAAAATGTTTTTTTACAGGATTCTTATATAAAGTCAAAATACATGTTTTTACGTCAATTAGATAAAAAAATATTCCGCGAAAAATATTCACAAAATCATAAAATATTAACTTTTCTAAAATAATTATTATACTCGAAATATGTTTTTAAAATATTTTTTTACGATTCATGAATTAAAAAATTTATATAATAACTGTAGGACACCAAAAAGTTTGATTTAATTAGTTGTTGTCTATCAAAATAAAGTTAATATACAATGTTACATGTGTTTTTAGTTGCATTACATTTAAAGCAATAAATCTAGGGCCCCATAAAATTTTTAAATGAATGCAACATTTTTTTAATTATACGTCAAACTTTAATAGTTTGATGATCTTTTTGTAGTTTCAAATACGAACATTTGAAGACTAAAATTTTCAAAAACAAAATCACGTTTAAGTAGTTAAGCAGTGAAGTCCGTCTATATCTAAATCTACTAAAGCATATTTATATGCGCACTTACTCACTTTTTTTGCTCAACTAAATCGATATAAAATTTTTAAAAAACGAAGAGGAAAAACGAAGAATAATGAATCAAAAGGTTGCTGAACCATCCTAAAACCCCTAGGCTATATAGTAGCACTCCACTGCGAGTCAGGCTATTTGTCAATCGATGTATGTACGAAAATCCCATTCTCAGTATGACGTCACACCTTCCACTCAAATCAGCACTCAGGTATATATGTATATATATATATATATATATATATATATATATATATATATATATATATATATATATATATATATATATATATATATATATATATATATATATATATATATATATATATATATATATATATATATATATATATATATATATATATATATATTATATATATATATATATATATATATTTATATAGTCGATAACGTTTTATCATTATTTATAGGATTCTCGCTAAAAATGGAACAATGGTTGTTAAAAGTGTGTTTGAATTTATTCTAACAAGATGTGAAGGAATAAAGCATTTAAGTTGAAAATACCGACAGTGACAGCGGCTGCTTTTTGTTATTAGTCAAATTTAGGTCGAATGACTAATACTCAGCAACAACAACAATTTGACAACAAGTTTTCTTCCAGATGCTTTTGTTAGTTTCTATACAAGTTTTATTAAATCTACCAAGATTATTATTGAGATAATTTTGAGCCTTGAAGATATTTTCTAGAGAAAACAGCCTTACACTAGAAGTAAAATTCGGCTACGATAAAAGTGGGGACACAAAATTTACAATCAACTGCACAATGTTAAAACAAGCAACATTATTATGCCAATGTTTTGTCCGTTTAAAACTTTAAATCATGAAGTTTTACATAGTGGGAACAGCAATACCCTAACTCAGAGTCTACTCAAAGCCACTTATGATTAAGTTGGTACTAAAGCTATTGTTAAAATGTTAAAGAAAGTATTAAAAAGTTGATAATTAGAAGTTTTATATACATATAACTAAAATATACAAATTTTGAAATAATTAGTAACAAAAAATTTTTCTTTGCCTCGCTTACCCAAATCTAAAAACACATAAAAAGAAAAATACGCAGAATGCAATATCTCAAGATAGGGTCATTTATTTGCTCCCAAACTTTACAATAACATAGGTTCCATAATGATGCAGGAGTTGTACTAGAATCATCTACTGTATGTATATAGTTTAGGAGTAAAGGCAGTTTTACCTTATTGAACCAGCTGCGGGTGTCAGGTGGGGGACATATCTGGCATTATTTCATGAACTATTTTGTATTAGAACTTAATTCTAGTACAACTCCTGCATATGAGTATCATGAATACATCCTGAAAATTTCATTGTAATTGCACCTTTAGATCTTGAGATATTT